GTTGAAAACCCTATGTACTCACCAGGTTTCCCAACCTGACCCACTCAGTTTATTGTATCACAGGTGGCTATATGAAAGATACATTGTGCTGAGAGATTCAAGGAGTATTAGGCTACTAGTTTAATTACTGTAAGGCTATAATATTTCGTTATGCTTATGTTTCTGTATTGACGATGACATCCTAATGTTTTAATATAAATAAAAATACATTTCTTCAAAAATTCTTTGATAATATCATTATCATGTTTTTTTTTTCTGGGAACAAATTTTGCAATATTATTCTTCAAAAAGAAAAAGGATACTCTGATTTTTAAATAAGCATTGAAAAAAATCGGTCTTTTCTGGCCGTAAAAATGGGGATGTCACGTGCACTATATAAACAACCTAAACCCTCTAATTTTCGACCACTGAATCTCTTGAAGAGCTAGCCGAAAATTGAAGCCCTCTCCTCCTTCTCAATCATTCTCCATTGCTAGTGTTGAGTGTGAACCACTAGAATCGTGATATTTGTGACGCTTGCTCTCAAGGCTTCATCAACACAAGTATTTGAATTGTTATTACTACATAACAATCAAGGTATGATTCCTTTAACCCTTATTATGTGTATTTCGAATATATGCTAGTAGGTAGGGTTGTCTATTTTGTTTGTTAAAGTTGTATGTTCAATTAGAGAAAACATATATCAAATTTTATATGGTTGCATGCACACATAGGGTTACATGTTTTGCATAGTACCCATCAATTGCCACTCTAGATTTTGGTTTCACTGGAGATGTGAGAAACAACTCACGAAAACACATAAATACAATACAAAAACTTCATCAAAAGTGAGAAAAAGATTAATAATAAGAATAAAAAGACTACATGTATTAAATCAATAACAAACCTTGTAACAAAAGAATCCAAAATTTTTAGTGGCAATACATCAATTGATATTCTCTACAATTACCACTCTAGATTTTGGTTTCACTGGAGATGTGAGAAACAACTCATGAAAACACACAAATAGAATACAAAAACTTCATCAAAAGTGAGAAAAAGATTAATAATAAGAATAAAAAGATTACATGTATTAAATCAATAACAAACCTTGTAACAAAAGAATCCAAAAATTTTAGCGGCAATACATCCATTGATATTCTCTGCATGGAAATGAAATTATGCATATACATAGGTAAAGAGATATTATGAGGAAACCTTGAGTGTGCAATGGTCATGAAATACCATTAGATATATAAGTCAAAAATAGACATGTTTTAATCAATTTGTTTCATAAAATACAATTAAGTATATATAAATTACAAAACTTTTGAAAGGTTGTTATTAATTATGTGGAAAATGAAAAGTTTTGGAGGTTTCAAATGCATATGGTGCAAGAAAAAAAAGTCTCATTTATAAGTATACTAGACGAATTCCCGCGCGTTGCGCAACGTAAGTTAAAAATATATTGTTAAAATATTGAAAAATATATGTTTAAAATAGTTATGTTATTGACATTAACTTTGACATAATATTTTGAACAATATTATTCATTGACATCAACCCACCTTCCTCATTAATAAAATTAAATATAATTATCTATTTAATATTATTTTTAACAATTGTTATGATTGATTAATTCAAATTTTTACTTATGTGATTATTTTCTAATTTCGATAATGATGTTCATTTAAAATACAATTTATTTGTTGTTAACGTTATGCAATTTATAAATTGATGTTATTATCATTTAAAATGATTGTTTTTTAGTTTTAAACTACTTATTATTAATAATAAGTTAAAGAAGACTTTTAAGAAACACTTAAATATTACTATTAAAATGTGAAACATACACTAAATAATAAACTGATAAGATAGACAATTTGCATTTCAAAAGAGACTTGCATTGATAATATGACATATTCATGATTTTTATAATTTAATTTTATTATTTATAATTATGGTTCATTACTTTTAAAACCACTTATTATTATTAATAAACGAAAGAAAACTTTTAAAAGACACTTATTATTATATTTAAAATGTTAAACATATACTAAAATATAAAGTGATAAGATAGACAATTTGCATTTTAAAGAGACTTACATGGATACTATGGATAATATTACATATCCATGATTTTCTATTAATTATTACTTTGAAGCAACACAAACATACAAACATATATACAATATTTAATTAAATATTATCTATATCACTTTCCATAACATATGATCGATAATATGAATCTAATATAATTTACATTAAAGTTTCAACCACAACATACAATGATTATCTTAAAAGAATACTTAAACCAAGGAAAATATATAAAAAAAAAAGAATTAGTATATAACAAACTTACAAATTAAAAACTTTAACATAATAACAGGCTCGAAAAATGGTCCAAAGCCCTCAAACCAACACAAAACTTTTAAACTTGTTTTCTTTGTGAATTTTGTATGTGATTTGTATTTGTATATCTACTCAAAGAGAATGATATTTTTATAGTAGACTATCTATTAATTTCTTATTAAACATATTATATAAGTTATAAAACATTTAATGATGTGTGATTAATTACTTTGATGGTAAAAAAGGTGTGGAGGTTTCAAATGCATGACGTGCTTGGAAATTTGTGTGAGGGTTTCAAATGCATGAGGTGATAGAAAAAATGTCTCATTTATAAGTATAGTATGACTAGGTGTCATGCTCATGTATATTACATGGGCTTATTTACAAAAATATATATAAAATTTTAAACATATGAAAAGTTTGAATTTATAAGAAAAAAAATATGGAATTATTAAAATTAAGTTTTTTTTTTCTTTTAAATTTAAACAAATAATTTACATAAATAAATAAAGAAAACCAATGAAGCTTTAATTTATTAATTTTGAAATTAGAAGGGAAGTCCATAAATTGATATACATTTATTATTATTGATTATATTAAATACTATATGGAATTTAATAAAATAAAAAAAACCATAAAATGACATGTAGAAAAATGATAAAATCTTCTCTACTCTAATAAATGAAAGTTTTTTTTGCCACATGTCACATTCTTATTCAATTTGCCAAATGTCATTTTGTGGTTATTTTGAATTAATTTTTTTCCACGTGTTATTTTATTAGTTTTTTTATTTTATTAAATTCCACATAATATTTTAATGTAATAGTTATAATAAATTGATATATAATTTCATTAATGAACTTACCTTTTAATTTCAAAAATTTCAAATTAAAGCTCATTAGTTTCTTTTTATTTATTTATTTAAATTGTTTAAATTTAAAAGATAAAAAACATTTCAATTATAATAATTCATTATTTTTCTTATTTTCTTATAAATTCAAAGTTTTCAAATATTTTGACATTTATATTTAACTTTTTTTTAATTAACCATAATTATAATCTCACAACTAGTACTTTAATAATAAGAAAAAGTTTTTATTGTTGTTTATTCATTCGTTTTATCAACGAGAGATTTCCTTTTAGGTTTTTTTTCGTTGGATTGACATCTCGATATTGAAGTTTTTTCACTAGTGTGACAACTATGAGATTCGTCATTTATTTGTTAGATTGAAATCAATATTTCGATTATGGAAAGTACAGATTAAATATATTTTATTCAACTTGATTTATAACTTCATGTTTTTTGAGTTTTTTACCAAAAGATTGCAATTTGAGAAAGTATTTACCAACATATGACATTTAAAATTTATTACAGATAATTGTAGTTTTGTTTAAAAAAAAGTCCAAATCTCATTTACCTCACACGATCTTCTTTCTCAGAGCGTTTTCTTCCTAGCCCATTGATTTCTTTGTATTTTACCATTTTATTTCAACATCGACCTTCTTCCTGAAATCATAATCGGTGCCCCATCCGTAGTGATCATACACGCTCGCTGTCAATATGCAACCTATGACATTCGTTTCGATCTCCTTCTGCATCTACTCTAATAAATGAAGGTTTTTTTTGCCACATGTCACATTCTCATTCAATTTGCCAAATATCATTTTGTGGTTATTTTGAATTAATTTTTTTCCACATGTCATTTCATGAGTTTTTTTTATTTTATTAAATTTCACATAATATTTTAATGTAATAATTATAATAAATGTAGTAATAAATGAATATTAATTTCATTAATGAACTTACCTTTTAATTTCAAAATTTCCAAACTAAAGCTCATTAGTTTTATTTATTTATTTATTTAAATTGTTTAAATTTAAAAGATAAAAAACATTTCAGTTATAATAATTCATTATTTTCTTATTTTTCTTATAAACTCAAAGTTTTCAAATATTTTGACATTTATATTTAATTTTTTTTAATTAACCCATATAATACATGAGTCTCACAACTAATGAAATAATAAGAAAAAACCATGTGACATAATGTATTAGAAGATGACAAGTGACAAAATCATTTTTTATTTATTAGAAAAGATATAAATATTGTTTTATTCAAAATTCATGATGACGGAGCTATAAGCAACAAAAGAAAAACATATTAATTATTTAAATGACTATTGTTTTTTTAAAGATAATGGATCTATTATTTTATTTTATATAAATATTTTTCTACTTTAAGAACCAAAGAAAGAGATATTGTAATTCACGACAATGTGGACCTAGACATCCTTTTTGTGTTAAGGGTTGTACAAAGAATTAACATCTTATTATGTTGCATTTTAAGATTTTATCAAATTATAATATTGTATTTTATTTTTTTAATGTGAAGGTATTGTTGGCATCTCAACTTAACTATAGTTAGAAAATATTTTATAATATAAATTTCAAAATACAATAATGAAAAAAAAAACTACCATTTTATAATGAATAAGGAAAACACAAATATATTACTATTTTTTACATATAACTTTTTTTTTTATTAATTTATAACCTATAATGAAAAAAAAAAAAAACGGGTTATTAATTTTTAAAGAAACAAAGATTAGAGAAAAAAAAAATGTTCTTGTTTTATACAATTTGGTTGGGGAAGGAAAAGACATTGGGATCAAAAAGTCAAAAGTAGCGACACTTGGACCTTCACAATCAAACCCCCCTCTTTCTCTTCCCCAATCTCTATTCTCAACTCCATTTCTATGCTTTCGTAAGGCTTCCGCATCACAGTGACTAACGAAGAAGAAAGAATCAGCAACACCCCATCACTTGTGATTCGATTATTCAATAATCAAGTCAAGACTTGTATACTTTTTGGATTTGGGTTTCTACTAAACTAAACTGTAAGCCCTCCAATTCCTTAATCACTCTCAATCACACTCGCACGCCATAAGCTCCTGATTTGGAGTTGTTCAATTGTCTTTATCAGAGCTCATATATATGCAACACACAAGAAAGTTCGTCTTTAACTTTGCAAACTGTTCTAAACCGTCAACCCATGTTGGGTACAATTCTTTGACTTCCATTGAAAAGAGATACACTTTGACTTTAGATTCGCAACATGTTAGTTTTAAGTTTCAAATTGATGTGATTTGATTTTGAAGAAAAACTGTTGATCGATGCTTCTTATCCAAAGCATACATAGAGTGGCTTAACATATTCAATTGACTTGTTGGAAGTTAGGGACATATAAAGCAAATGATATGGAAACACAATTTCTGCAAGTTTGGTTGATCATTTTCCTATACCACAAATGCCCCATATGAACTATTGAAGAGCCTAACATATGAATAAAAGGATATTCGGATGTGTGTTTAAATTAATTGCTATGATATTGTTTGGCAGCTATCAACTGTGATCTATTCCATTTCTCATAAAACACAGCAAGATTCAGCATCGCTCTTTATCAAGAATCCATGATGGCAGAACTCAGTCCAAGGACTGATACTTCCACTGATGGGGACACTGATGACAAGGCTTTGGGGGTAATACTTTAACCAATTCACTTGAAACTTCCCTTTCGTTCATTCTATTCTTCTATATAAAAGATATAGGAAACTTGAATCAATGAATCATGATCTGCATTAAACTTTTACTTAAAAAGTTGATGTTTGTTTTCTCATGTCAGTTCATACTCCACTGTGGCATAAAGTTAAGTGAGAAGTTATTGGGGTAGTCTGTAACTTTGGGTTTAGGGTTTTACAATTAGGGTGCAAAACATGAACTTTATAAATGATTAAATGGATTTTTTTTTTGCTAATATGTTGTGTATGTGATTATGATGCAGTTCCATAGTGGTCAATCACATGGGCTTGTGGTTTCTGATGCCAGTGACAAGTCAAGGGACCAAAAGGTCTTTATGTTTGTGCTATTTACCATTTTTTAGAGTGTTAATAGATACAAAAGGAAAAAGGAAAATGTTGAAAGAAAATACTAATTTGTTGTTGAACTATAATGAATCTTCAGACACTTCGTAGGCTTGCTCAAAATCGTGAAGCTGCAAGAAAAAGTCGTTTGCGGAAGAAAGTAAGTTTCTTTTTTGTTGCTCATTTCTTCATTTATCTTGAATCTTTGATTTGAATTCATGTAGTTGGTTGCATTTCTCTAAAGGGTTATATGGGGCATGTTGAATGTTACTCTTTCATAGATTGACCATTGATTAAAGACTAAATCTACTTAAAAGTTTGCCCATATGGTTGTTTCTAAGGTCCCATTTATGATTATGTACTAAAAAAAAAATTAAAAACACCTCTTTTAAGTAGAAAGTGGATGAATGTGGTGTATCTTGAAAGAAAAAAAAAGAACTAATGGTGTAATAGAAATAGTTTATGCAACATTTGTGAAGTTTAAGCAGCCAATATTTAATTAAGTTGCTATAAATTTAAATCATTTGGTGTTGTAACATAATGTATACATTTTAGTATTGGGACAACAAGACTTAGGGGGTGTTTGGAATTTGTTTATTTAAAACAACCTATGCTTATTTGTAAAAGTCCTTATTAGATCATTAATCCCTTCATCCAATAAAATTGCAACATTTTCCATTTTAAGTTTTCCCAAAAAATGCAACATCTTCTTTTATGTCAACTCTTCCATCCTGATTTACCTTTTTGCCTGTTGGTGATTATTAATTGAAAATAGCAACTTCATTTCTGGTCCAAAAGTTTTCTTAATTTTGTCCATACTAAGAGGCAATTTTAGAAATTTGATCAATAATTTCAAAGAAAGAGTGAAAAGCTTAATTATTTCCGAAAACAAAATCATACATATATAGGCATATATGAGCCTGTAAACCCTAATAGAATAGCTTACATAAATAGAATAAGTACAATAAAGGAAACACTATCTTCTTGATATTCTTCAATATATAGAAAAATTAAGTAAAAGATTCTTCAATAATTAAACATTATCGTTGAAGTATGTGCCAAACTTACTTAGTGTTGAATTATTTTATACCCTTTTTCCCATCATGAGACATTCCTTTCATTCACCAACTATTTGATGTTGTAATGAAGTTATTGGGTGGTTGTTTTAGGCTTATGTTCAACAACTTGAAAGTAGCAGAATGAAGTTGAGCCAACTTGAACAGGAGCTTCAGAGAGCTAGGCAGCAGGTTTGGTTTGACCAATCTTATCTAAAGACTACAAACAACAAAACAAATTGTACTGTGTTTGGCATGCATTGGACTGAGACTGGAACTGATGTCAATAAGACAAAAATTTGTAAATTTTTTTCCCACCCAAAAAGCTGCAACGACAAATACTCGCTCTTGATCTCTTGTTTGTGCAAAAGACGTGAATGCCCTCCTCATACTCATCATGGACAATAATAGCTCTAGAAAGCTTTGTTACACATAACAAGATCCAGAAGAAGACGAGGATTAGGAGGGCATTTATGTCTTTTTCACAGAAGCGAGTATTTGTCCCAAATGAATGAAAGTATGTTGTTATTTTTGCATTTAACCCGAAAAGTTGCACTCACTTGTCTTAATACTTCTCCTTTGCTGAAAGGGCATCTTCATTTCGAGTTCAGGAGAACAATCTCAATCAACCAGTGGAAATGGTATGATCATGTTGCATTATATCTTTGTTATGAGTAGTTTTGGCTTTAAAAATGACATAAATAAATTTATAGCAATCACTTTTTGTTGTTAATAGAGGTGTTTAAATCATAATTTATATAATATTCAACCCTTGAAAAGAAAATTGTAATCAATTTGTTAACTTATTCATACTTAACACTTTTGTGTTGTTTTTATAACTTAGTGGACTTAATGAGGACATGACTCAATCCAATAAGCTATTCATTGATGTTTCTTGTGATTTAATGTAGAAAAAACGATCTAATAGAAAAAAAAAAGATGCTTTCCCTATTAAGTTCTACTACCCTTTCACACAATTTCCCTCGTTTTTTGCTTACATTTCCTTGAATACCTTTTGAACATTATTTTTTCACACTTAATGTATGATTATATTAGCTATATTGATCATGATAAAAAAAAGTATGTACTATGTAGGGGCGTCATCTTTTCATGTTGAGTATTCAAGGTGGCTAGATGAGCAAAATAGGCGAATCAGTGAGCTGAGAGAAGCTGTTAGTTCACATGCTGCTGATGGAGAACTTCGGCTCATTGTTGATGGAGTCATCACACATTATGAAGATATTTTTAGAATAAAAGGTGATGCTGCAAAGGCAGATGTTTTCCATATTTTATCAGGCATGTGGAAAACCCCTGCAGAAAGATGTTTTCTTTGGTTAGGTGGATTCCGTTCTTCAGAACTCCTCAAAGTAAGTCTAATATCATGCATCATGTCACTGGACCTCTAAATGCAACAATCAACAACACTTTTTCTTGTTATAGGATTGAAAATTGCTTTGTATTTGAATGACATTGCTATAATTCGGTAGATTTTTTAATGTACAATGTTGTAATAAGAAGAAATGAAAGTAGTATAGTATGCTCGTATTAAACAAATAAATGCAAGTATTTTGCTATTTTACAATTTATCCCTACAAGAGATTAGTTACAAGGGAAATGGATTATATATGAAATTAATCAAAATTGGACAAAAAAGTGGATTTTATGATTTTATCCAAATAAAAGCAATTTTCACTGCTCGAATTGGATAGATTTCTCAAAAGTTTAATGTCCTAATAACAAAGTACAATACTAGAATTAGGTATCTTTTACAATGTCTTGATGAGAAAAAAGAATAAAAATACATTACTGAAACAAAAAAAAAAAAGGCTAAATGCAAAAAATAGCAACATACTTACATTTATTTGAGTACTGTAGCATCTTTCTATTACAACTTTTTAAAAAGGCTAATAGGGGTCAATTTCAACCATCCATATATGTTCAAATGGATTCGGAAAAAAAAAATGCAAACTACATTGGCAAGAGTTAGTTATGAAAATAAATTGATTATGGTTTGTTTGATTTGCAGTTACTTATAAGCCAATTGGAGCCATTGACAGAGCAACAGTTATTGGCAATCAATAACTTACAACAAACATCACAACAAGCGGAGGACGCGTTATCACAAGGAATGGATGCATTGCAACAGTCTTTAGCCGAGACATTAGCAGGCTCCCTTGGTTCATCCTCATCCTCGGGTTCCTCAGGCAATGTAGCCAATTACATGGGTCAAATGGCTATGGCTATGGGTAAACTTGGAACACTTGAGGGCTTCATTCGACAGGTCATATACATAATTAGGTTCATAAGTAAGTATTGTGTGAATGTAAGAACAATTATGAAGCGTCTGATTGATTCTTGAGAGATTCTTTCGATCTGACGCTTCAAAATTGTTTTTACATTCACACAGTATTTGTGATTTTCAAAATAAAGTAACCCACCCGTTATATTATATAATATTAAACAGGCAGACAATTTGAGGCAACAAACCTTGCAACAAATGCATCGGATCTTAACAACAAGACAATCGGCTCGAGCACTTATCGCCATTAATGATTATTTCTCACGTCTTCGAGCTCTTAGCTCATTATGGCTTGCACGCCCTCGTGAATGAATCATCTTCACTTCACTTCATCATTTACAAATCCAACAAACACAGGTGAGATTAGACAGACATCAAGTTCATTAAGATCTTGTTATCAAGAGCCACTTAACTTGTATTTCTTTGCATTTTCTTACCGATTAGTTGTAGCAAAGTTGTGTCTTTGTTGTTGACACTTCTCAAAGCTTAGTATTTAAATTTATGTTTATTCTATTAATTTAAGTTGAAAAACAAGAAACTGATTGATGAGTTGTTGACATGTAATCAAGTCTTCCCGGTTGTAGTTATGAAATCACTAATTTTCTATAGGAAGATCTCTCATTAAACAATAAACACCCTGTTAATTATATTTTCTTGACTTGTAATTTTAAAAAATTCAAAGCTTGAAAGACCTTATGTGTTATGTAGTTGAATATATACTGGAGTATTTCCAACAAACATGCTGAGTTTGCATCTTTTTTTTGCAGTTTTATGAAAATTATTAATCAAATATAATATTTTTCTAGTCTTTAATTACATCGATTTTTGTTTAAATATAATCACATTTATGTCGCATAATTTAATTTTAGTAGATGACAAGGATGCTATTTGTGTGTAGATATATCAAAGTGCAATGGTCATATGCACATCAAATTAATAAGTTTATAGTTCATGTGTGTGCGAAAAACATAAATGATTACATGTGTAAAAAAACATCAGTGTATGGATGCACTTTAGGCGATGAGACGACAATGACATGAACACAACGAACAAGTATAAAGGGTTGTTTGGTAGCCTCTTAATACATTAAGTATCTATAAAATTCATAAAATTTGTACATCAACTTTGGTTGTGGTTCTTTGGTTATATTACCCTCACGTACACTTCCTATATATCGGTGCACAACAATGACATGAACATGCAAAATTAGATTATGTAAAAGTATATTACGGGCTAAATTTGAAGGTGATATTTTTCATTGGCATAATATTCTAATCTTCCTCTTTTGTGTCCACAATAAGGAGTTGGTAAAAACCAAATGCTTGCTCTTTAGACCATTCTTTCACCCAAAATTTGGTTTAAACGTGGTTATAATTAATTTTATTAATCCTCCTTTTTTTGCCAAATCTTCATAAGAAAAAATGGATACAAGCTTGTTATATGTAATGCCATGTACATGGAGGTATGTATAAGTTGAATGTAAGAAAACTAGGAACCCTTGTGCATCTATCCCTAACCATTGTCTAGACGTGACATCTTATAGGGGCTCATGGCCCACCGCTTTTCAGCTTAATGATATCCATAATACCATCAAGAGTTGTGTACTCACTCACTCAGTCCCATAAGTCGTTATCTTCTGTTCTCCGATCTCTCTCTTTCACATTATTTTCCAATCAATTGTTATATAAGTATATAGAGATGGAGATAAAGTTGCATATGGAAGAATGTTGTTTCGTGAAGAGAATAGCAACAAGTAAGAGGTGGCGATGTTTTAGATGATTCAATCATATGACTAAATCTGTAATAAGGAGTTTGTTTCAATGAGAGAATTTAAGGAGTTTGAATTTTGAGGAACAAAGATGAGCTATATGTGTGTCAATGTTAGTGGGAGCACTGTTGTCACCCTTTTAATGTATTTTGATAATACGCAATTCATAAGAAACATAGAAGGATTGGTCTTCATTTTATACTATAAAAATAGATAGAGATCCACCCCCTAGATGATCCTATATCATGGAAATCACACCCCATGATGCTAAGAATATGTGTCAAAAATGAACTTCCTTCGTGTTTTCATCCAAACAACCATGAACATGCCAATTTCTCCTTTCTTCTTTAATCTATTTTAAACCAAAGTGATCAAATGAAACCATAGAAGGGTTGGTCTTCATTTTATACTTTAACTAATTACAAGTTGACCCTAAATCTTTCATAGCCTATGATTCTTCCTTTCATTTAGAGGTTGCATGAAACACATTGAATGCTAACTGTTTCAGAGGCCGTCTCTGAATGCATTCATAGGTTATCAAACAACCCTTAAGATGGCGATGCCACAAACTTGTAACTTTTATCCCATCAAAAAGATAAAATTTTGTCTCATTGACCTGAGTCTTCGTCCTAATTCAATGCATGTCAAAACTTATCTTGTATAAAAAATGGGGCCTACAAGTTGTTTTGTTCCTTAAAAATGAACTTCATCATCCAAGTGACATTTGGCAACTGCCTCCAAGAGTCTGATGAGTGCCTCTAATTGTCGAAAAAACATTGTCATGCGATATGCAACTCGACTTCCTGGAGCATGTTCAACAATGTCATGACAAAGAATGAAATCTAATGATTTGGGAAGGGATCATGCATGTATTTCCTTTGATGTTCCTTGCATCCCGACCCTCTGTGAATCTGCAAATTTACTTTCTTGTAAAAAAAGCGTCCATCTTTTTTTCTTTGAACACAATACGTTAATACATATCATAGGCTATGGATAAAACAACAATAAATGAAGTAAGCACCAAAAGCACTATTCCTTCTCTCAACATCAAATGATTGTCAAATCATATGACAAATACACAAACAAACCTCAATGTATTTATATTGTTGCTCAACATTTTTTAAATTGACTCTACACTCCAAGCACTTGAAAGAAAATATGGCCTAACCTCAATCACCAAGAAGTTGACGAATGACAGGAACTCGATCCAAAGATACATCAAACAAACCCAGACAAAAATAAATACAGGCCAAACAAATTACCAATAAACCTTAAAACACAATAATATAAGATTTAATACATGCAAATTGACACACTTATCGAGTAAAACAATCATTAAAAAGGTAATGAACATATGCCATACTTAAAATGATCTATATATTTAAGACCCACCAACAATAACAAAGTAATAATGTCAAAAAATGACTCTACATGAGCTCTTTAACTCCATTTCACCACATCTCACAAACCATATGAGCTAATTTTCTAAAATTAACATCTCTCATTCGTTCAAATTATAAGACTGATAATGTCCTATGTTTGTTTCTTCAAAACCACGTTCTTGTCCCTCATAAAGAATATTGGAAATTTTTCCCACTTGAAAGATCTTACGTGAGAACCACATATTTTATCTTTTCTCAAAATCCTAAAACCTATCTTGTACTGTGATCCTTATGTTTAATACAAAAACTTATTTGATTAAAAAATATCGATCAATTTCAGGACAAGAAAAATCATGCAATTTTAGTCTTAAGAACTACTCTTCGAGTTCATGTTAATGATTTATGAAAGCGAATTAAAGAACCAAAAAGTATCCTGATAAGAAACACACCATTAAAGGCTTTACCGATGCATCAATAATGAAAACATGTCAACCTTAACCTCAAACTTATATGCCCGAAGTGATATTACCAAGTATGTAATTGTTTATCCCAATATCTCATGAACAAACACTTCGGGTGATAAGAAAATGGATTTTGTATGATTGTTTCAAATAAGTTTCTAATTTCTGATCAAAGATATTTAAAGAATGTATTGTGATAAGATCCTTCATGATTAGTTTTAAACATCCATAGTGAATGATAAAGAGATTTTAAAGAGAAAACATGTCACAAAGCAACAAAGAATATAGAAACAATTTTTTTTGTTGTTTTCATTTGAGATACATGAAATATAATGAAAGCATAGGAAAATTCTAACTAACAGCGAAAATTTTGAAATTTTGTAGCATCCGATTGTATCCGAAATATCGGGAGTGAAGAATATATATGACATTGTTGATAATTTTTTTTGACAATTTTTAGCATACTCGATGGTAGTTGAAGTATCGGGAATGAATAGTAGTTTTGACAGTCTGAAAATTTCCCAAATATGAAAAATGTGAACCGAAAAATGATTTGTAAAAGATACTCTAAGCCTTCAAATGTTAATAGTAATTTTGACCTTTTTCAAAAATGTTTTGTGACAAAAACAAAATAAAATATAAAGCATATTAGAAAGAAAGTTATCTCGATGTCGGAACATAACATGCTTCCATCAAGCCCAGACCATTTAAGGTTCTTTTGAAAGATTGTTCATCAAAAGCTTTGGTGAATATATCTATGATTTGATCCTTTGCTTTTAAAAAACTGAACTTCGATGTTTCATTCTTCCACAAGATATTTGATAAAGTGATATAGAATTGCAATATTCTTTGTCTTCGAATGTTGCACTGGATTGTGAAAAATACGTATAACACTTTATGATTCACAAATTAAAGGAATTGTCTTCATGTTTATGGCATAGTCACGAAGTTCATTTTGTATCCATATGATTTTTGAAGTACAAGCAACAACATCAAATAACAAATAGAGTTGGAGTATTCCAATTATGAAGTAGTATTGCTCGTGTTTGGAATTGATTTAACAACTGGATCCATAAGCATGCTCACGGGAGAACAATTGTAATAGCAATCCCTTTGTTAATTAGTTCAATCCTTATTCAAAGGATTATATTAGCCTCCCCTATGTCCTTCATGGAAAATATATATGAAAATTGTGAAATCCCTCATTTTTGGTTATTTTTAAAACCAATTTATACTCAATTTATAACAAACTCTTTTGTTTAACAATGGAAAATCCTAGATTTCAATTATTTAAAATAAAAATTTATTAATTCAATTATCTCGGGATGTAAACTTGTGTATATCAAACCATAAGAAAAACCCTCCTGGAATAGCAAACAATGTCAAGCACTCTCTAAAGCATCACATACTATAGTATCCACTTAAGACACACATTAAAATAGTATGTTTAGGCCATGAAGCCTAGTGAGGCCATAGAGTTTCGACATATATATATATATATATATATATATATATATATATATATATATATATATATATATATATATATATATAGGGCTGAGTTGTTGTGCGAACCAAAAAAAACGTGTGAACTTGCGAACTCATAATCAAATCATCATTTTTCAAAACCAAAAACACAAATCTTCTCGAAATGGTGCATCTAAGCCATATCTAGGCTCAAAACAAAGATTTAACATTTTTTTTTATTTTCGAAATTTGCATGTATGCACAATCAGTAGTCCATAGGATTGCTGATGAGCACGATCAGTAGTCATATGGACTGCTGATGTGCACAAC